CTGCCCTCCTCATGAATATTTCTTATGCAATTCCCTCCCTTGCAAGAATCGTTATGGAAATTCAACATGACTTCTGTGCTCTCACTTTAAAAGCTCATGACTATTCATAGATTTATTCCTTCTTTACTATTGCATTCACTGTTTTCCTGAATAACTTTCCATTTATAGCAATATTCCTTTGTAGATATGGACCTTTGATGCATAATAGAGTCTTAATTTGATTATTAGGGTGAGTGTTTGTCTGTTCATACATAACAGAAAGCCCTGAATTCTGTGCACTCGACACCTTCCCACTGTCAGCATGAAGTGTAAAAATGCAGGCTGTATTCCATCCTCACAACAAGGACGACAAGCTTGCCTCACTATTGACAACTTTGACACAAACACTGTTGACCAGATGGGAAGAGTGTGCTACCTATTTCTTGGCACTAAAATGCAGGTTCTTGCAATGTTGGTTTCTCTTGTGAAGGACTGAGATCATTAGTACATCTAGATCTTGTACCTTTTGGGAAGTCATTACTTTTCAAACTGTAGAAAAAATAAACTTTTGGTATTGTGATACCTTAAGTTGTCTTTTGAGGGAATTTCATTTGAGAAAAAGACACAGAAAGAGATTTCTTATTAGGAACTACATATAGCAGTTAACTGCAGATAGAATTGTACTCATATAGCAGGGAGAGAATGTACACACAAATGCTCATTTTAATGAGAGAGAAAGTGTAGGTAGAAGCAGATGACCTAGATGATTTTATGAATAAAAGATTTAATCTGATGCAATCATTTCATTAATACACACATGGCATCAAATGAAAACAGAGCATAGCAGATGGCTACGAGAGGTCTTAAAAAGGCCTTTTCAGTTTAGTAGCTAATGATTTAGATTTCATGGACTACTCCAAATACTATCAGAAATGAAGGATTTATGGTAACTGTCTTCCAAAGAAGGTTCTACTGCTTTATGAAAATAATGCTGAAAAATCTCTGTGACACTAGTTAGAAAATGCAGTCACAGAGCAGATACGGGGCAACCTGATTTTTTCACAAAAACTGAAAGAAAAATCCATTATTTTCTTTATAGGTCAATAGCTTCTATTTTTTCATTAAAAGTTCTTTCTTTGCTTTCATTTTGCTGCAATTGGTGAAAACAGTGGTTTGCAATATAATAATGAAATACAGTCATTTTTCATGCAATTTTAGAATCTAAATATGACATTCATTTGCTGCAATTATGGATCCATTGTAAACAATTGCAAAAAAAAATATTGGGGAAGACTGTTGGGATAGTATTAACAATTTATTAGATTTATATTAAGAAAAATATTTGGAATAAATTTATAATGATTGTATATCTTTAAAAGGAGGTAGTAAGTGGGGAAGGCTCGTGTAAGATCTGTGTTGTGCTTTTACATCAGTCAACCTCAGCATAGAAAAAAAATAAAGCAGGGGAATACTGTTATTCAGCACACTGTCTGACAGTAGGTATGGCACCAGCCATGTGACTACTTCATCCTGCCTGAGTCGTGTCATCCATGTCCAGGTTGCAGGGGGTCTGACAGACCAGCCAAATGTGCCAGCTCTTCTCCCAGTCTGTTCTGCTCCATACTGGAGGAATGTGCAGCCTGGAAGATTTGATTGCTCTCCAGACCCTTTACAAAACCAGATCAGGGCAAAAGGGCTGGATTTCTTAGAGAGAATCTGGCCTACAGCTTCTTACAGGCAGATTAACCTCAGTTTGGCTTCAAACTGAGGACACATACAGTCTCATTCTTCAGACCTAATCCAAGATCAACTAAGTCTATATTATTTCATCAGAAATTAATATTGCAGCACTGGCAAACTTGAACACATGCAGACTGAATTTTCTTTTTGCAAAGCTTGTTTGAGATCCTATTAGGAATGATAGAGTTTATACCGAATTTTGATTGTACAAGAATACTTACTCTCTTTGGATGCAAAGCAAGAGAAACAAACAAACACCCTACCACACAAAAGCCTATGTGTAGAGTAGGAAGCTGATTTTGTTTCCTTAGCGTGCAACAGATACAAGTATTGAACAAGACAGGCTTGGCCCTATTGCAAACTGCTATTTCTGCTTCATTAGGAAATGGTTCTTTGTAAGCCGGCAGACATAAAGCTTTCATAAACCTGAATTCTTGTGAATGAAATGTGGGCAGGCATGGTTTTCTAACCTGTATACCATACACTGTGCAATATACATCCACAGCATCCTTGGCAGCCTGCTGCTCTGCAAATCCTGGCTTTACCATAGGCTGAAGCATTCAGGGGAATGGTATAAAAACTAAGAAGGACCTCTAGACGGAAAATCTTCTTACACCTGCAACTTACAGTCATGACTATACATTGAGCACTTTGTGATTTAGACAACTTGTCATAGAAATTCATAGGTTGCTGTTATACTTACAATGGATAATGGAAATGCAGCTGATTACAGTCTTCATACATCTTTCACTGTTGTGTTAAACATTCAGAGAACATCATATTGATTCTGATTACTTCTATTTTGACAGCAAGTCAGGCCTCAAATTAAGTAGAGAAATTCATAGCTTCAGAAATCGTACACATAAGTTTGAGATATGACAAACTCCTTTGAATTTTCTAGCCACTTAAAATGAATGTTGGCATTGTGAAAGAGACACTCACTGAAATTACTTTTTTTCACAAACTCACCAAAGTCTGAAGTCCTGTAAACTTTCTCAAGTCTAAGGCCAAGTATACTGTATCTGAATATGACTAGGGGAATGGCATATGAGGGTGCTGTTAAGAAAGGAGAGGTCAGGTTTTTCAAAATGAGAGGCACCTCCTGTAAGAGAAGGTCTGAAAGTATTTATCATTAAACCATAATTAAATAAAAAAAATTTAATAACAATGTTTATATGTTTGTAGCATTCATTTACAATATTTCATCTCCTTGTCTTTGCAGCTGGGTTGCCAGTAGCACAGCAAACACTGATTAACTGTTCATTAATAGACCAGTGTTTGATATGATCAGAATGTAATTTCTTTTCATTTACTGGTCTTAAAAGTTCAGATAAATGGGTTTTCTATCCCAGTGCTAGGGAATCGCTTTGCTTTGTAGAAATTCTTTTATTGTCTATGGACCAAAATCATCTCTCTTTCAGTAACTTCAATCATGGGCTTTCCCTCTCTGTTTGGTTTGCTAAGTAGGATTATCATCATTAGCTTCTTAGCATATTTTCTGCCCTCTCTCCTTCTACAAATGCAATACTGCTTCCCTTACTGTTTTGATTTCTCTCATTTTCAGATCCATTTCCAAACAAATACTTTGGAGCCGTAAGAGACACTCAGTTGTCAGGGGACTTGGTAGATACCACAGTCCTCTTAAACCAACCCAACCCAACCCAACCCAACCCAACCCAACCCAACCCAAACCAAACCAAACCAAAATCCAACCTCTTCTTTTTAGCTTTTGTGGGCAGCAGCAAGTTTTGGAAACTATACACAAAAAGCAAATGCATGAATTGTGACAACTGGCTTTCAAGAAGAATACAGTCATATTTTAAAGAAAAAGTGATTATTCAGTCTTCCCAGTAATTCCTAACAGTGTGGAAAGGAAACATTCCAGATTATTGAACGCTTCTTCACAGGCTCTTGACTGGGAGAGAAGAAAAGTCTACCAATGTCTGTACAGAGGCATTCACTTGTCTTTTCCTATTTGATACTTTCCTAATTCAAAGATTTGGGGATCCAATCAAGCAACTGACCCAATATCATGCGAAACAGGGACCATCTACCTAATCAAATGAAAGGACAACAAACCTTGGTGCGTCTAAACAGTACAGATGCCCTCTTGCACAGATGAAACATAGTCTATTCAGAAAACATTCAACATCTTTAATATAACATGGGATTGCTTCCTGAGAGAGCTTCAAATGAAAAAAAGGACTAACCTGTTTACAATAGCCTGTACAGATCTGCTTTGGAAAGACTGATTTTACTGAGTTTGACAGTAAGAGTATTATGATAAGACTGACAAGAATTTTCCTATGTTGTTTTTTAATGAGATCAGTTGAGCAAAAGAAACAGCAGGTATGAAACTTTATTTGGTTTTTATGTAAATATACAGAATACATTTTATGCTTCTTCACCAGAGAACTAAATTCCAATTGGTGCCAATATTTTTTGTGGAAATGCTTGGTGATGTCTGTAAGGGTATGAAATGTAAAATGAAAAAAAAAAATTTAAGCACAGTAAAGTAGTTTATGGGAATAAAATATGTGGACTGATTACAATGAAGGGAATTATTCAAGATACTTTTTTCTTATACTGTTTAGAGATGCTTTCTGTGAAGGTTTGGTGTCTTTCCTAGCATAAATGCAATCATCTCAATCTCAGAATTCTCTGAAATGGCTATGTATGAGTTTCATTTCTACATAGTGATTCTTATAACTTTATTCAGGGGAGAAAGAAGACTCAGTTTTAAGTCCAATATCTTCCAAGGGTCAGCAGTTCTAACAGGTAAGATTACTGCTGTATGACACCGCTTTTTTGATCCCTGGGAGAGAGACAAAGCCCAGCAACCCCTGGAGACCCCCCGGCCAGACTCCCGTGGCTGAAGGGGCCACAGTGTCACACTCCCGCCCTAGAGCAGCGTTTGGAAGCCGAGGGCAGCGCTCCCGAGCGGAGAGCGGGGTGTGCCGGCAAGCGGGGGCGGCGGGGCAGCGGGGGCCCGGCTGGGTCGCTCCGGCAAGGAGGTTGCACAATGAGCCTCGTGCCTGCTGGGGCAGATCTTCCTCCGCCCCCTCTCCTCCTCCTCCGTTTATTTATTTCATTTATTTTTTATTACATTTATTTATTTGTATTCACTGGAATAATAAAAATGAGAAAATCCGAGCACTGCTTTTGGCTGCTCTCCAACAACCTGTCAGTGACGCAAGCGGAGACTACTTAAAGGCAGATTAGAGGCAGCAAGATATTAAAGCCAACCTTCCTCCCTCCACGCCGCCGGTCCGCCCGCCGCGCCGCGCCACGAGCCGAGCGGGCCGGGCCGGTGGCGGTCGCGGAGTGGCCCCGAGCCGAGCCCAGCCGAGCCGAGGCCAGCCGGCAATCCTCGGCAGAACTGCTGCCTCCAGCCGCACTCCCGCCACCGGACTGCGGGCGGTGGAGAGGGACTGCTCTTCTGTTTGTTTTCCCTCCCCCTGAGGAAAAAAAAAAAAAAAAAAAAAAAAAAAAAAAAAAAAAAAAGACCAAAAATAGGAGGGGTGAAAAAAGGAAGGCAGAAGTGAAGAGATCCCCTCCGCTTGCCAAAGTCTTTGTCTCCGGATGAACAGCGATGGGGGAATGGACTATTCTAGAGAGGCTACTGGAAGCTGCCGTGCAGCAGCATTCTACTATGATAGGGAGGTAAGGGTTGCGGGAGAGCTACGGGGGCACCGGGGGGGGAATCCCCTTCTGTCCAGGCGTGCCAGCCGGCGGGTCGGCGGGGCACAGTGGGTCCCGGCCGTGCCTTTCGGCCAGGCTCTTGCAGGGTGTGCCTGGAACGCCCGTGTGTGTGTGCGGTGCTGTGTGTGGGGGTGGTATGCGGCACAGGGCGCCGAGGCGCGGGGACACCGCAAACGCCGCCGTCCTTGTCTCCGAGGAGCCAAGGGGCAGCGGACGGTCAGTGGGGAGACCCCACTGACATCGGGATCCCGCTGCCGCCGGGACCCTGTGCCGCTCCCTACCGCGCTCTTGGGCCCCCCCCCCGGCCCGTGTGACAGCTTATTCTCCGAGGGGGCCGGGCGGGGGCCAGCGCTGACCGCCACCCGGGGTCTTTGGCTGAGGCGATGCCGCGCAGGCTGCGCGCCCCAGCGCGGGAGCGGGGCTGGGCGCTGGTGCCGGTGCCGGTGCCAGGGCCGGGGCCGGGGCCGGGGCCGGGGCCGCGTTGCGGGGCCCGGTCAGCACTGGACAGCTCCCGGCCGCGCGGCGGCGGCGCGCACTGACCGGCTTCTCTGTTGCAGGATCCTGCTGACCGTGGTGGTGATCTTCAGAATTCTCATTGTGGCCATTGTAGGGGAGACGGTGTACGATGACGAGCAAACGATGTTTGTCTGTAACACGCTGCAGCCAGGCTGCAACCAGGCTTGTTACGACCAGGCTTTCCCCATTTCTCACATAAGGTACTGGGTGTTCCAGATCATCATGGTGTGCACTCCCAGCCTATGCTTTATAACCTACTCCGTTCACCAGTCTGCTAAACAAAGGGAACGGAGGTACTCCACTGTCTTCCTTACCTTGGAAAGGGACCAGGATTCAATGAAGCGTGAGGACAGTAAAAAAATCAAGAACACTATTGTCAATGGGGTGCTGCAGAACACTGAGAACTCCACCAAAGAGGCAGAACCAGACTGCTTAGAAGTGAAGGAAATCCCCAATCCTGCTATCAGAACTACAAAGTCAAAGATGAGGAGGCAAGAAGGCATTTCTCGATTTTATATCATCCAAGTGGTCTTTCGAAATGCCCTAGAGATTGGATTCTTAGTGGGACAGTATTTTCTGTATGGATTCAATGTCCCTTCAATGTACGAATGTGACAGATACCCTTGCATTAAAGAAGTAGAGTGCTATGTCTCTAGACCCACTGAGAAGACTGTATTTTTGGTGTTCATGTTTGCTGTCAGTGGGATTTGTGTGGTGCTTAATTTGGCAGAACTGAACCATTTGGGCTGGAGAAAGATCAAAATGGCAGTGAGAGGAGTACAGGCAAAAAGGAAATCCATATACGAAATCAGAAATAAAGACCTGCCAAGAATGAGCATGCCTAACTTTGGCAGGACTCAGTCAAGTGACTCAGCTTATGTGTGAGGCTGTGGCAGAACTGAAGCATTGTGCCAGGTGGAACAGACCCAGATACCATTAGAGAAAGGTACATTGCTTAGGCAAGCATTTTATCAAACCACCAAGAAAGCCATTAAGGTATTGGATCTGCACTTACTGAACTAGCTGCAAAATGCAGCACTATGTAAAAGACTGAAAAAACAGCTATAAAACCATGCTTGATCTAGCCTTACAGCACAGCTACTATTATTCCTACTTTTCTTTCTAATGATCGGGTGTTATCTGTCAGTGAAACAGCTTTTTGGTTGTCATTAGGATGTTTACGGTTTGAGTTGTCTGAATAATTGTTGTAAATGTGTAGAATGTTCATATCAAAACTCTGCAAGGATACTCTATATAGGGCGGGATGGGGTGGGATGCAATGTGCAGACATAAGCATGTTTTAAAGGAGGGTAAGCGCACTGTAAGGAAACTAACCACAGCTCAATCAGGATATCTGCGTTCACATAATTCACAGATGTCTTATATTATTTTGTTTGTCTAAATCACAGACTTTATTCCTGGTGTGTATTACTAGCTATTTTCTATCATGGTTTGTGCATCAATTAGTTATGCTAAACAATAAATGCTGAATATAATTTTGCCATTTTTTGTTTGCCTGTCCACACACACACACCAGAGACCTTAATCATCTTAATTTGTTATGATCTGCAAAATTTATCAGTACATTTTTTTCTTCTGATTCCCTAATATGTGCATGAATAAAATGGAGTTGATTCATGCTAGCCAAGTTATGTATTTACCTACAATCACCTATGATGAAACACATACCAAAGGAAGAGGGTTCATTGCGTTTAACTGTGAAATCACCTTCTCTCTGCTCTTATTTAATATAAGTGCCATACTTGAAACATCTGACTCTGTACTTAGTCAAAAGGTTGTCTTGGGATACCAGCTTGAGTAAAATGATTTTATACTCCCCTTTGTTTATTTTATGCTATTTGTTTAGTCATTGCAATGGTAAAAAGCAGCTGAACTTTCTATTGATAAATAAAGTACTTGCCTTTTTTTTTTTTTTTTTTTTTTTTTTTTTTTTTTTTTTTTTTTTTTTTTTTTTTTTTTTTTTTTGTAAGCCAGAGAGATTTGTTCTTCTGTATTCTTGTAAACAATTGTAAAAAACATACAGGGTCAAAATAATTCACTTACAACAATTATTCTTCAGGGTTTAAAATGTCTTGTTGGTATTCTAAACTCTAAGTGACAAAACCGGGGAAATCCAGGCTATTTTTTATGTCTATTTTCCTCCTTGAGCAAGCTTCCTCTGTCTTTAAAGCCTGATCCAAAGCCCACTGACACCAACAGCCTTCCTTCTGCTGACACTAAGGGCAACACAGTTGGCTGCCAAGGTCACTCTAGGAATAGCCAGAATACATTTACCTATAAATGAAACAATTGCAGTTTTTTTTATCAGGGAATCCAAATATTAACCTCAGCTTTTCTGCCTTACAGCTGGTTTAAAAAATATACTGTTCATGTCCCATCAACTTACTGGCAAGCCACTGGGGCAGTCACAAACAAATCTCTGTTAATAGCAACCATTTTAATAGAGGATACTGAGTTTTACTTAAAGAACTTTTAATTTTTTTTTTAATTCCCATTAAATTCAACAGAAAATATTCCTCTGGCAACAGTAGGAGTTGGATCAGGACTAAAAAAAAAAACATATAAGTGCATTTCTAACTAAATAGTATCTGCCCTTTAAAGAAAAGGGCCAAAATGGTGCTGGAAAATTTAGTGGTACTTTATAACATAAGAAGGAGACACGGGCTCCGAGTCACAAATGGCCTTTTGATTGTATTTTATTTCAAGCCTGAAAATGGATTTTATTGTATATTGGCTTGGAGATGATGCATATAAATCTTTTCCTCTTGGCTTACAATAAACACCTTAACATTCCATTCTTGTGGTTTGCCAGCATTGTCACTTTAAAAAATGTTGATTTATTCTTAGATAGTCTATTCATTATCACATTCATCAGTGATCTTTTTTTCTTCCACCGTGAAACATGAGGACTTTGAGATGTATCATGTTTTTAAAGATTTAAAAAATATTTGTCCTTATATATACAATTAAAAGTTTTCCTGGTTTGATTACAGAAACATATAAAGACGGATTTCTCAAATGATTCTTTGTGATAAAAACGCACACTGATATTGCTAGTTGACTGCATGCTCACTGGAAAACTGCATGTTATTTTTAGAAGGACAACATGGCAGCTAAAATCTCCATCTGCAAAATAACAAGCTTCTAAAGATTATTATTTGACACACAAATCCAAATCTGATTTTCATTTTTCAGAGTCCTGGGATAGTTTTCAAAATCTCTTTTTGAACAGAAAGGAAAAATATTTTTTGACAATTATAGGCATTGTTTTAATGTCAAAGAAATGGGAGATTATTTGCAAAGGGCTTGATCCAATGCAAATTAAAGTTGAAACAACAAAACTCATACTGAATTCACCAGGTTTTGATTTACATTCAGCATAATTTCCTGTTAGGCAGAAGCCCTAATGTAATTTTTTTCCAGTGGCTGCATAGCAGTATTCAGTCAAACTCTAGTGAAGGGCATGTCTTGAAAGCGGTAAGATTTTAATACCTTAAAATTCTTTAGGTAAAATTTAGAAAATATCTATTTATATTAGTCAATGCAAATGAATCAATTTAATATTATTTTTATGTAGTTGCACATTTGTACTCCAGTAAGTTGTAATTCTTCAGAATTGTCCTATGAGAAATATGTCAGGAAATATAAATGCGAATTTAATCAACAGGGTCAGTGATAAAGTAGATAAAGACTTATATTTTGACCAACTGAAATGTCATCCTACATATTTGGAATATTGTTTTTCCTGTTTCAGAGGAGAAATTCAATGGTGTCAAGAGATCAGTTGTTCTAACCTTCCTTTTAAATTGTTATTTTTCATTTCTTACCAACCACTCATGGACAAGAGAAATATAGCAAACACTTTTTTTGTCAATGTATGTGAGAGTCATATGATTAATGCTAATGGACTGTTTGCATGAAAGCTGACTATTCATTTACAGAATAAATGCTTTAAAATTGTCACAGCAATGGAAAAGTGTGTTAACTGACCAGCACTGAGTGAACATGAAGCTAAAGGGCACATTACTGGCTACTTAGGTCTTGCTCCTGCCTTAGTGAAATAAATTATCTCACCATTGACATCTCTGTAAGAATCAGGCATTAAATATGAAAATTAAGTTAATGTTTGGTTTGTTTGTTGTATAAATTGCTTTGCACTGGTGGACAATATTATATTCCACCTTATGTACAAACATAAAAGTTATGTTCACTAAGCTCTTATATAAAACTGCAATAGAATCTAATATACTGTTGGTTTCATGGAATTTTAAAATGTACATGAAATAATTATATTATTCCATTTTTATATAGGTTTCTCTTACCTGTGTGAATTTCAAAAACTATTTACATATGGGGTTTGGACCATTTCACCAGAAATGTATAATATGCAATGAGATTCTATTAAAAGATTTAAAAAAAATAGGATTTTCTTTTTTAATAATGAGAACCGATACATTTTTACATGGGGAAGCTGGATTGACTGTTCCCATGAAGAATTTAGTTTTAGAGACCTTTGACTTTGAAGAAATGTTAGGGTTTTCAGCTTTCTGAGGGGAAAACTGAAGAACAAACTGAGATGAATGAATCACAGAAGTGGTGAGATGAATTTTAGTTTGTTTTACACTAGAGAAGTCAGGAACACTCAGATTCTCCAAAGTGGGTGCAGTGGTTGTCTTCCATTATACATAATAGGGTAAGACATAGCTGCTGCTATATAAAATCATAAGAAAAGGTGCACATGAAATGTGAAATGTGATGAATAATTATTTTCATCCATATGTAAAAGAATACATTTGTTTCAGGGCAAGAGGATGGACCAGGTTGACACTGTCCTGGCAGCCTTCTGACTTCATTTTGCTTGAATATAAATGTTCCACCTTACTTCTTCGGCAAAACAAGTTAGAATTTTTTGTTTGGTGTGCAAGTATAGAAATGGGAACTAAAAAATTTGGACACATCTTGAAAACACAGGGATATGTTTTCATCACTTAGGGTCTGGTCTCGTTCTTCATGAATTTAATTGTAAGACTTTATTTTCTATGGGACCAAGTCAATTCCCAGCTGCATGAAACTCAGTTCCTCTATTTCATGAGATTAACAGGAGAGATTACACTATTTCTGTATTGCATACCCATCCCTGAAAATTTTGGGAAACTTTTTCCAGAAATTCTATTTTATTATAAGCTTTCAGAAAACATATTGGGTTACTATCAGCTGCTAATTCCAGATTCTAAACACCATCACCCTCTCAATGAAACTAGTATCTGTGAAAATAGTTTCTCTGTGCCACTAGGAAGTGCTTCATATTATGTCTATTAAAATGTACTGAAGAAGTCAATTAAGAGTCAGCAGCCCATCAATAGGTGCAGATATGGAGAATTCCATAGCACTGCATTACAAATAAACCAGGCATATACATGTTATATAATATTAAATATATGCTAGATTGTTAACAATTTTACCTAAATTGCATTACTCTGTTACAGATTGAACTTCAGATATGGATATAGAAGTCACATATCAGAGACAGTTAGAAACTGTGCAAGCAATGAACAGTCATATTGTCTTGCAACTACATGCAGTGACCTGACCAAATATTTAACATGCAAAAACCTCCAACAATGACCCTTTCCCTGTGACTTCTGGGGTTATGGGCTATACTAGTAGCTTTAGAAAGTTTAACTAAGCGGGTTTGTGTCTAAGTTATAGCTTAAAAGAGGCTTGTCTTCACTGCATTAAAATCTGTTGGCTTTTTCCTGGTGGTGCCTGAACTACAGGATGAATGAGATGTCTAGGTTCTGGAGACCCACATAAAAATTGACTCTGTGATATTCCCTCAAAGTGAGAATTACTCTTGTATTCAACAGAATGTAAAAGTAAGGTAATTTGCCACCAATCCACCTATTTTTGCGTACTTGGTGTGGCTAAAAAAGGACATAGAAAGGTTACCAGTACCTGGATAATAATTAATACATCCGACAGTGATTAAGTAATGTTGGACTTCTCTTTCTTCCACTGAAAATATTTGTTGTGTATGATTTCTCTATAAATGTATTTCATGATATATAATTAAATGTAACTTTCATTTTAAAAATATTTTATGAAGTTTCCAATGAAATCATGATTAGTATTTTCATATTTACTTTTTAGAGAAAAGTTAAGAGATTGCTGTTTGAACTTGACTAATTTTTAAAAGGTGTTGTTAATAATTAATTTTATATTTTAAATATGCTAACATTTTTTTTTTCTGAGAAACATTAAAGTAAATAATTATTTGTACCACTAAAGCAACACTACCTTTGGAAGAGATGTATTCCTTTTCAACAATAAGCTTTATTTGTCAAATCTATTTTTTTTTTAAATTAACATTGAACGGGGATTTTTTTAACATACATATTAGAACTATATATTGTAAAGAGGTAATTTTGAAGAAGGGTATGTAACAGCAAAATTTGAAAAAAAGTAAGGATTTGTAGGTATTAAAGAAAAGCAGATGTGCTGTGGGACTTACTTTTCCCTACTTATTACATATTTTAGGGATAAAGGCATATTCAGAACACATTCATGAGCAAATATACAAGATTCCTTACATTATCTCTTATGTAAGCAAAACATTTATAGACGTTATTTACAACTATTTCACAGCTTTTCTTTGAAAAATCTAAGTGATACATTACATTTTCCAAAGCCATCATAAACACTGATATCACAAGTTTCACCCCTAGCTTTAGTGAACTATGGGGGATTTTTTGAAATGCACCACTGATCTGTAGTGAAAACCATTTTGCTATCAGAAATTTGCCCATGACAAAACAAACAGGACTTGACATTGATATCTAGCAGACTTTAATGGAACAACCAGACTTTAAAGTTCACATAAAAGTGTGACTTGTGATGAAGATGCATTTTGACCATTGCATGGTCAAAAGAACTTAATTAAAGGGGACTTTGCATATGCATTGCCTGGGACATACTAGAGACTCAGGTATCTGGAAGAAAGATAATGGCCATAGGAATTTCTTTACTTTCTCCTTTGAAAAAAGAAAACAAAACCTGCTCTAACAATGTTCTTTGCATAAGAAGCGTATAATTCTACATCTACACATATGTACAACTCAGAGAGGTGTCCACATGTGATATTGTTAAATGGCCACAAGCAAATGAGCAATATTTAGTTTACATGAATAGAGAGATAATGTGTTCAACTCTTTTGCACCATTTTATCACATGCAAGTGGGAACATAATTGGTAAGGGAAAGGAAATAGTTTGTTGCATCTGCAGTATATTTGTACCAATTTTCACTAAGTAAATACTTCATATTTCTATCTCATGAAACTACATGAAACTATTGAGGTTTCTCTGTTTGAAAAGGGGTAGAAGCACATTTCTAAAAAATTTTAACATGTTTATGTCAACTTGTTTTTTTTTTATATACAATTTTGTATGGTGCAAATTTTCCTGATGTGTTCTTCCATTTAATATTGTGATTATTGTTTGGATTGTGTTTCAAAGAAATTGCAAATTTTTTTTTGTTTGTCTGTTTTTTTTTTAAATTATAATTATTAACTCAGACTATACACATGTTAAGGTGTTGTAATTCTTAAAGAGTGCCAGCAACTGTAGAATTTTTTTTTAAATTTGCACTCAGCAGCCAATTTTGTATAATTTGAATAATAAGGGTTTGGGGTTTGTTTGTTTTAAAAAAACCCAAACCATAAAACAGAAGCCTTTAATAGATTACTTTAATCATTATTCCATTTAAAGATGGAATGTCCTGCATCTATTAATGTAT